GTTACCATAAAAAGCTATTTTCAGGTTCTTCTTGCCTGCCCCGAGTACCTACCGACATGTTACACTCCTTCGGTGCCCCGCATCCGTTAGCTAGTGTGATGAGAACCTGGGACTTCTTCTACTGGCGTATTCCGCGACTCCCCGCGCAGCCTTCTCGAGTGTTCCTACTTCTTCGAGTATCAGAGGTTAATCTCAACGTCGAAATAAAATAAAAGCCTCGATAAGCTCTGCAATTCTTCAGCCTGAAGACTGATTAGAAGCAGAATGTAAAGTTCAAGTAGGATTTAATTGCAGTTCTTATCAACTCTTCCTCTACAATATTGACTGTGGAGGCGCTGGCTAGCTAGATTTTAGTCTGCATAGACTTCATGACGATCACATGGTTACGACTCTAGCTTACCACCAATAACTCTATGCAGCTTGATCTTTGCTTTTGTTTAAACTCCTCCAGTTCAGATCTTGATTTATTCGAAGATATTTGAGACGGTAAGTAGATGCAGGGTTCATGCAAGAAATAGTCCTATGATTCTAGATGGGAATCGAGTACGTCTATATAAGCTGATGTTATTGAACATGAATACAGCTTCTGAAGTTCTCACGTTCTTGAAGAACATTGTTTCTAACAAGGCGTCCTCCGGCGAAATTTCTACGCTTTTAGACGGATTATGCGCAAGAGCCGGAGCGCAAAGATAACGTAGTTTTAGGCCAGGATGCGATTGGACAAGAAACAAATGGAACTCGAGGATCACCATGTCTGCACGAGCCGTTGTCCACACAGAGTAAGTACCGGCTGTCGCTCTGTAACCTAGAACGCCCAATTATCCGGTGTGTACTTAGTTTTTATGTTAAGTTGTGCGCTTTGGACATCACATTTCGACCTGAAACTATTCCACTACAGGTAGCATTTAGTTTGAAAGAGCTATGATTTACCATTTTGGTTATGTTTCCAAAAAAACAATTATACAGAAGTAACTTTTGTCGGCTTGACCTGCTTGTATGATATCACCACCTCGGTTATCATCAATTGTAGTTACATGTATGTATATCCTGCCTGGATAATGAGCCTTCGAAAGGTGTAGGAAAGAGTCATGATCATGAAATACGGATTCTAGTAGAAAGAACAGCTATGAAGTGAATGATGTTGTACTCTACTCCTATATATCAACTTCATATAGATTAAAAATAATAGTCGAGTGATATTATCATTTCCTTGATCCAGGTCTTGTGCCTCTGGCAAGGTACCAAGGAGCCGCGCACTCACAGAATCCAAGCATCATCCAACACTCAGCTGCTGCACGTCTAAACACTTGCACAGCTCAGCAACCATCAGCAGAAGCAACCACCACGCTCATTCATCTCTTTGCCTACCACCCTCTACGTGACCAGGTTTGAAACCCACACGAAGTGGCAAAGCAGGAAAAGCCCCTTTGGAAAGCTCCCCCCCTCCCCGAACAAAACCCTCGCCCTTCCCGCAGCCCGTGAGCCGTGGCTGCCGTCCTGGACCCTTCACACCTTGAAGAACACGGCTGTTCTCCAGCCCAACCGCCTTCACCATTCCTTCCACATCGTCTACCCGCCAGACTCAAATACCCCTTCGTACCCTAGCTTCATCCTCAGCGGTAAGGGATCGTGACCGTCTACACTCAGAATCCCTACTACCTGGGCCTTCCCACGATAGCTCCCATCGCGGGAACTCCTCACATTCGAGGTTGTCTGTAGACTCAGACGACTTTTCGTGGAGCGACACTGGTGATTTAGCCGAACAGCTAGAAGACCAGGAGGATCCCGTATCTATAAAACTACGAGAGACTCTTGACGAGATTACTCCTACAGCTTCCTCTAGTAAACACCGCCGTACTGGCTCCAGGAAATCTAACAAATCTCGGCAGTCGACTGAATCGTCCGATCACGGACACAGTACGAAAGAAATAGTAATTCATATACCAACGCCTGTGAATAGAGCTTCCAACGCGCAGCGAATACTAGCTTCCGTCATGTCTGGCGGGAGAAATGGCTCGTCAATCCATGGATTGACGGGTAAGCCGTTACTGTTTGTATACCTAGAGCCTAATGGAAAAGAACTGTTTAGCTGATTTCTAAAAGATATTTTACAAGTATCTTCGTGAGCTTGGGTGTGTTCTTATTTGGTTATGACCAAGGTGTAATGTCTGGTATTATAACGTATGAACGCTGTCTATTCTTATTACATGTTCTCAGTACAAGGTGCTGATTCTGTCCGCAGTGGACCATATTTTAAAGACTACTTTAATCAGCCAACTCGAGCTGAGATCGGGACTATGGTTGCTATTCTAGAAGTTGGAGCTTTCTTCTCTTCTCTTATAGTTGGTCGATTAGGTGATGTTTATGGTCGCCGAAGAGTAATTCTCTGGGGAGCTGTAATTTTTGTCACTGGAGGTGCTTTTCAGACTCTCTCAAATGGCATGGGAATGTTGGTACTGGGCCGTATCATTGCTGGTGTTGGTGTTGGAGCTTTATCAACCATCGTCCCGGTCTACCAATCCGAGATCTCGCCTTCCCATAACCGAGGTCAACTTGCATGCATTGAGTTCACTGGTAATATCATCGGATATGCATCTAGTGTGTGGGTTGACTACGGCTGCACCTACATCGAAAGCAATATGTCATGGCGTCTACCGTTGTCCATGCAATGTATCATGGGCGCTCTTCTCGCAATTGGTTCATTAATCATCTCTGAATCCCCAAGGTAAATTCAACCTGCTAAAATATGGGTAAAATATCAATATCTAACTCTATTACAGGTGGCTTCTTGACAATGATCACGATGAGGAAGGAATGGTCGTATTGGCCAATCTTTATGGAGGTGGAGACGTCCACAATGAACATGCCAGGAACGAATTCCGTGAAATCAAGGAAAACGTTATCATGACACGCCAAGAGGGCGAGCGCTCATATTCAGAGATGTGGTCTCGATACAGGAAGCGTCTCTTGATTGCCATGTCATCCCAAGCATTCGCTCAACTGAACGGTATCAACGTGATCTCATACTATGTACGTCATTTCAAACTATTTTTTATCTCATAATAATCGACCATAAAAGCTAACAATGATAGGCCCCGTTGGTTTTTGAACAAGCTGGTTGGGTTGGTCGCGATGCCATCTTAATGACCGGTATTAATGGTATTGTTTATGTCTTGAGTACCATTCCTCCGTAAGTTCTCTTAGATTAGACACAAACCCAAGAAGTTTGATGCTGATGCTGGTGATAGATGGTATCTTATGGATAAATGGGGTCGTCGCCCGATTCTTTTATCAGGTGCTATTGTTATGTGTCTTTCACTTTCAGCGATATCTTACTTCATCTACATCGACGTGCATTATACACCACGGATGGTTGTTATATTTGTTATCATTTATAACGCATTTTTCGGATACTCATGGGGACCTGTCCCATGGTTGTACCCACCGGAGATCATGCCTTTGAGCATCAGAGCTAAGGGTGCTTCTCTTTCAACGGCGACTAATTGGGCTTTCAACTGGTTGGTTGGTGAAATGACACCCATTCTACAAGATTGGATCAAATGGAGACTCTACCTGGTCCATGCCTTCTTTTGCGCCGTCAGTTTTGTGCTTGGTAAGTATCAAAATCAAATTGTGTGATATTCGTAACTAATGGGCTCTATAGTATGGTTTGTATATCCAGAAACCAAGGGCGTTGCGCTGGAAGACATGGATCAAATCTTCGGAGATCAAACCGTCGTCGCAACACCGGCAACTGCCAGAGACTCACTCCTTCACCCAAGCCGCACTGGAAGCCCAGTGCCCTCACTCGATATCGGCCGCTCAGATGCAAAGCGAACACCCTCACCAGCCTACCGTAGCCGAGGCGGAAGCGGGATCGGCGGATGGATCAAGGGAGTGTTTGGCGGAAAATCCGAAAATGAGACCGGAGGAAATTATAGACGACTTGATGAGGGAGATGACGTTTAGATGGTCGGAGTTTTCCTGCTGGGTTTTCCGTATTCTGCATGTTGTGAGTATTCATGGGAGGTTGCTTTTTGTTAGGACATTTGGGATTTTGCTCCTATGAGCTATTATTTGTGGGCTTTCCGCCGACATGCGGTCATGCTCTTGTATTTTTTTCTTTTCTTTTCGGTAAACTTCGTTTACCTCATATTTTCTTGTTCAGACTGCCCTGCATTTTTGCTTTTTCAGTTGGGTATAGTAAGTATAGAGAAAAATAGAAGAGGGGCAGCGAATGTTGCTCCTGATCGACATCTCTGTTTTTGCAAGAGTTAGGGTGTAGAGTTTAGTTTATTATATTTCTTTTGAGCCGGAAGTTGTCGAGTTGCGAAACCTTTCCCCCTCGGATTGTTCATTGTGTATCAACCAGAACACCGTTTAGCAAGTGTGATATCTCATTTCTGCGCACAATGTCTGTAAGACGGACACAGAGTCAAGTTTCAAATGCCATGTATGTTGAAGTATTGAGAATGACGACAGTTATTCAGACGCCCGCGCGCAGGATGCCAAACTCCAGCTAGTTGTTGGTTAATACTGCTGGAACGTTGAGTTAGTACTACTACGCTCGTTTTGTAGAACAGCTTCTAGTCTTGTTCCTAGCCTGTGGTGCGATTCTGCAGTCTGCAGAACGAGGAACGAGTTCACAACAAAAGTCTGGGCACGAGACTAAACAGCTTCCGCCAATCTTGTATCGTGTAGCCAAGCCGGCAGCGGGCCGAGTACGTAAGGGCATTATGTAGAATTAAAGTTTTCGGTAGAGACGTCGCGGCTCCTCCGGCCGACTCCGCTGGGCACCTGCCTAGACTTCCGCCATAGGTGCCATAGGTGTATGGATCTCAGAGCCAGCCCGTGAGCTCCCGCCGCAGCTATTGCAACGACATCGACCACCACCCCCCCACACGACTCGAGACATCGATAACAGCCACCCCACCCCGCCATTCGTTTCCTGTTTGCTTATCGCGAAACATATCCATTCTCTTGAGGGCGAGCTTGCTGCTATGAGTGTGGTGACGGATTTGGTGTTCGCGCTGTTGAGTTTGTAGCCTTTCTGGGAAACGTGTCCGAATGGGATAGATGAAACTGACTGTCGTGGGCGTGGTGGATAGAGCGCGAAGCGGAGGAGCCGGATACTGAGGGTACGGATTCTTAGTGACTGTTGATATTCCCCCCTCAAAGCTTTGCGTTACGGTTGCGGCTGTATTACCGATGAACGGATGGGAGAAGTGCAAATCCAGGGAGAGCTCGTTCACGATGGCTAACGTGTAGAACTTTGCAGAACCTACCGATCCCGGCGAATCGGAAATAATATCATCATGGGCGTTATTTATCCAGGTATCGCTACTGATATTAGCACTGTTCTGCAGTTACTATCTGCAGCTGAAGAAGATACAGGCGGTGCACGAGACTGTGGTGTCGATTTTTGCGGGTATAGTTTTATTTCCTTGTGGTCTTTTTGGAGTCGAGAAAGTATCGTGGGAGCTGCATCTGGGGCTAAGCTAATGCTGTGGGATGGGGTAGGTATGTTCGTGGGGCTGTTAATCAGGGTCACTCCAGGTGACAATATTCAAAACCTTGTCAAATTCGACTACCAGATCTTCTTCAATGTACTTTTACCACCGATTATTCTCAACTCGGGTTATGAGCTGCATCAAGCGAATTTCTTCCGGAATATAGGCTCGATTTTGACGTTTGCGTTTGCTGGGACTTTTATTTCGGCAGTAGTTCTAGGAACCATAGTATTCATCTGGTCTTGGGGACCTCTAGAGACGCTTGATATCTCCTACGTTGAAGCTATTGCAGTTGGCGCGACCCTTTCCGCGACGGACCCTGTTACTATTCTCGCTATATTCAACACATATAAAGTGGATCCGAAGCTTTATACTGTGATTTTCGGAGAGAGTATCTTGAACGATGCAGTTGCTATTGTCATGTTCGAGACTGCCCAACGTTTCCACGGAGCTGGACATGGGCCAGCAAGTGTTGGAAGTCTGTTCAAGGGTATCGGGATTTTCTTCATTGTCTTCACCGTGAGTCTGTTGATTGGAGTGTTTATCGGTATCGGAACGGCTTTATTATTGAAATATACATATATTCGGAGGTTCCCGAAGATTGAGAGTTCATTTATCCTCCTGATAGCATATTCATCGTACCTTTTTTCGAACGGATGTCACATGTCTGGTATGATAGCTCCGAATGGAGGCATTCCACTATTCATGATTCTTTGAAATTATAAAGCTTACTCGTCAATTATTTAGGGATCGTATCACTACTATTTTGCGGTATCACACTCAAACATTACGCTTATTACAACATGTCCCGCCGAACTCAGCTCACCACGAAATACCTCTTCCAAGTTCTCGCTCAGCTTTCCGAGAATTTTATCTTCATTTACCTCGGCCTTTCACTCTTTACTGACACCCAGCTTGTCTTCCGCCCTCTCTTCATCCTCGTTACTACAATCGGTATCTGCGTTGCTCGTTGGGCTGCAGTGTTTCCTCTCTCTAAACTCATCAATTTTGTCATTCGCTCCCGTGCAAGAGCACGCGGACAAACCGCGGCCGATGAACTCCCGCACTCATATCAAGCCATGCTCTTTTGGGCCGGACTTCGTGGAGCTGTCGGTGTAGCCCTCGCTGCCGGTATTACTGGCGAGAACGGGAACCCACTCCGAGCAACCGTCCTTGTCGTCGTCGTGCTCACTGTCATCGTCTTTGGTGGTACCACAGCTCGAATGCTTGAGATTTTAGGCATTCGTACAGGCGTAGTGGAAGAAATAGATTCTGATGATGAGTTTGATATCGAAACCGTTGGCCCCTACTTCAAGTCTCCCCGCGGAGGCATGGGTCCCAATTCTGTTCCCTTGTCCAATGTTGACAGCGGCATCTACGCGTCTGGTCAACGAGGCATCTCCCCAGACACACAAGATACACCGCTTGGTAGGCGCGGCCGACGGGAACCGGAGCTTCTGCGCACGGATTCGAATGATAGCGATGCTGATAGTGATATCGATGATCTGCCGCCTATGATACCGACCACCGTACGCCCCCGTGGGGCATCCATAACTAGAACTGCAAGTGCAAGTGGGAACGGCGAAGGTAGCAGTACTCAGGCGCAAACGCAGACACAGGCTGCGAGCATAGGTATCACGGCTGGAAGCGCATTCAATAGTTTAACAGGTATATTTTCCGGGACTAGCGACGACCAGGCAGAGTGGTTCCGGAAACTGGATGAGGGTTACATCAAGCCTACACTGCTGCTGGACCCGGGGAAGGGTAATGGGGGTGGGAACGGTTATAGGGGCCCAGGGGCTGTTTAAGAGAGAGAAAGAAAAGGGGAGGGGGGGGGGGGGGGTAAATAGGACATTTGAGGAGTGCAGAAAGGCCATGGCATGTGTGCTTTTCATGTGTGTTTCTGTTAAATATTTAAGGCGCTCTTTCTGTTTTGGAAAAAGTTCCGTTTTTTTTTTTTTTTTTTGGCCTTTCTTTTTGTGTTCATTTTCATTTCTTTTTTTTCCTTGGGTCAATGGTTTCTTGTGTATTTTTTGTTGTCTCATTCTGGCCATGGGCATGATAATAGATGACTACCATGAAGTCCTGCTCAACAGTAAACAGTGCTTATTTCCTCTACACCTCGCTTTGGGTAAAGGATGTTTGATCGTCATCATGGAGATATAAGAGTAAGAATTGATCTTTTGAGCACACATGTACTTGAGGTGTAAGAAGAGTCTTTTCCAAACATCACCTCAATATCCGCGAGTTGATGGTGTCGAAACACTAGCGCAAGTTGAGGGTTACAAAAGACGCAACAGATAGAAGTGTGTGCTAGCTAATTAACTATTGGGTAATAACGCTTGAGTTGTTTTGAAAGTGATGATTAAGCCAAGCAACCCAACCTTGTGTCACCAGAAATGATCCGCGCGCCCTGTATTAAAACGGCGAGTGCTCGCTCATGATTCCAATATTTATTACCCCGAACTTCTATTTTTTTTCTTTCTTTCTCGGTATCTAAACTAAGAACCTAGACCAACTAGCAAACACCTAGTTCTCATAATCCTTCGTCCAATAAATCCTATGATGCTCCCTCCCCCCCACCTCCGTAATCTCCCGCATCACCTCCTCGCCCAACTCAAAATCCACACCCTTAAACTCCTCCTGCCTCTCCGCCCTACTACTCGTCGTAACCACGACCACCCCCATCTCCACCCCCCACCTGATCAGCACCTGAGACTCCGTGCGCCCTTTCTCCTCCGCGATCCTCTTCACCACGCCGTCCAAGGGGCCCCCGGGGAACTTTGTAAGCGGCCCCAGCGGCGAGTAGGCGGCCAGCTGGATGTTGTGCGACTGGCAGAAGCACAGGAGGGGCGCATCGAAGCAGTAGGGGTTGAGCTCGACTTGGTTGTAGGAGGGGGGGATGGTGGCGTGTGTGAGGAGAGAGGTGAGTTGGGGGACGGTGAAGTTGGAGACGCCGATGGAGCGGGCTTTGCCGGATTTTTGGAGGGTTTCGAAGCGGGCCCAGATTTGTGGGATGGTGAGGGGGTGCGTGGGGGGGAGGAAGGGCGCGTGGATTAGGAAGCTGGGAGGGGGGGTTAGTGGGGTGTGTGCGGATGTGCGGGGAGTGGGGTGCGGGCGCGGGGGGGGGGGGGAGGCTTACAGGTCTACATAGTCGGTTTGGAGCTTGCGGAGGGTCTCATTCAGGCCTTTTTCGGGGTCGTCGAGGGTTTTGAGAGACTGGTTTTATACATAGTTAGCTTCCGACTCTATACCATACATCCCAATTGCAACTGCAAGTATAATAATAAACTACTAGCTAATACTGCTTATAAACTATACATACCTTCGCAACGATAAACAGCTCCTCCCTCGGGATCCCACTCTCATTGATCGCAACGCCCACCTCGGGCTCAGTGCCATACACCTCCGCGCAGTCGAGGTGGCGGTACCCCAGCGCGAGCGCGGACTTGATGGAGTCGATCAGCACGCGGTTGAGCGGCTCAGACTCGGACTTGTACCAGGCGGTGCCGGTGCCGAAGCCGAGGGCGGGGATGGGCGCGCCGGTGGGGAGGTGGAAGGTGGGGATTTGGGTGGTCATTGTTTGGCTATTGGGTTGTGGTTGTGGCTGTTGTTGTGGTTGTGGTGGGGGAGGTGGGGGGAGGTGGGAGGTGATATTAGGAAGTGAGTGATATAGCATGAAGGGGTGCTGATGTGGGGTTGATAAAGCTGGCCCGGGGGAGACAGAGATCTTCAATTCATTACAAATTGGCTATGATGTAAGGAGTGGGGTTAACTACGGGGAAAGGCCTTAACTACGGGCCGAGAAGCTAGCCGGTTTCGCTTGCTTTGCTTTGCGAAGCTTATTTGACTCTTTGTCGTCCTTCTTTCTGCTTCATGAGCTACATGTATCTATCAGTCATGCAGGGCACAGACACGAGAATTATTATCTGATCTAGCTAGACAACCGGCTACTCACGGCTCTCGAAGCTGCTTAGCAACAGCTTTGTTATCTGATTTCGTGATTGTGGCAGACCGGGCATCGGGCCGGACACGCGCTTGTCAGAACTTATGAATCAGTGGGCGTCTCTGCGGGCATAAATCGTGGTTGCAGCTAGTACTGTAGGTTGAGGTGGTGGAGAGAGAGTTTGGTTTGGTTGACTGAGTCTGCGTAACAACAACCAAACCAAACCAGGCCAACCACTTGCTAGCCGAGTGAGAGCCGAATACGCCACTACTGAGTACATACATGTAGGTACTCTAGAGAGAGTACTGGGAATGCGATGTGAGGAATGTAGATTTGCATCGCATCGATTGCGATCCATCAGCCTGATTCCTTGGTTCGCCAGATATGCCGAAGTAAAAATACCTATATGATGTATCTTAAAGGTTTGGTGATTACTGTGCTTGTCTATCCAGTTACACATAGTAGACATGTACATACATGCTCAGTTTACCTCTCTACTCTACTCGCTCCGGATTCGCAATGCTGTGGCGCATATTACCGCTTACATAGATGACAAATCGGGGTAAAAAAGAATTAATGAGACAACTTGTAGCATAGCATACATATAGTTTCTAGCTACTTCATCGTCATCATCAGAACCTCATCGGTTCATCGCTAGTCCAAGTTATTCACGTTTGCATAAATTTGTTGAGAATTAAGGATCACTACCTAAATACGAACAGCCAACAACGCCTGTAACATGTACGTACTTAATACGTGCACCTTCATCGTGGTGAGGTCTGGTTGTGATGTACATGTAGTGTAAAGAGTACCTATGTGTTTTCTCCTAGTCTGGATCACAATCGATCTCCTACCTACATAATTACAGCGACGTTCATGACTCACCTGAATGTTTGGTCGACAGTTGTTTTGTTATACCCAAAAACATGTAGCTCTCATCCTTCTTAATGCTACGGCCGCAGAAGTTAATGCAAACAATGTTTTCCAGCTGCATAGTATTCACCTGAGTGTGATGGGTTATTCTAGACTCGAGTCTATCCTTGAAAATATATTATGATTATTATACATGCACATGTAGTTATGGGAAATTCTCGTTGCGATATGTTGGGGCCTTGCCATCTTCAGCCTTGTGATATTCCAAACAGTATATGCAATTGCGCGCCCTAAGAGATCTAATAATGTGATACTGTTTGGCACGTGACTGGTCCACGAAGAGACGTTACGTAGAGTATCTAGATCCCCGAGGCCAACACGCAATAGTCCCCCTCTCATCGTCAAGTTGGTGTCCGCTCTATAACATTAATACAAAGTATCGTTCATTCGTCACGAAACCAGTCTCCTTGCATGATCATCTTCAAATTCACAGATGATGATTTCCTGATGTGGTGAATATCACTATCAAGCACTTCTCCATTGGTCGTATTTGGAAACGCGAGTAGAGTACCGCAAAAACTCGAAGAATTTGCTAGCTCCGTGAGATCAAAATTACTTCTATGGGAAACATCTGACGTAGATCGATGCCATCCAACCAATCACTCGAGAGATAATCCCTGGGCGGAGCTAGCGAATTTCTCGAGGTTTTGCGGTAGTAGAGGTGGTGATGGGATGATGACTTAGGTAGGTCTAAGCGAGGAGGATAAATTGGGAGGAAAGGAATAAACTTTACAATTCGATTCTTCTACATCTAAATTCTCCTCAAAACTTTCGCAACGAATTTTCTCAATACTGCGGTACTCCACTAAGAAATTTTGCACCGCCAGCCGATATTTGCAGTTAGCTTCTACAATTTGTATGGTGAGCCACCAATCGCTGAATGTCGTGAAAACGAACGAAGAGATACATAGTAGCAATCTCAAAGCACGGACCAGCACTAAAAAAATCTCTTATGTCGCAGCCCTGCTTTTCTTTTTGAGCCTCCCACTGTTTCAACCCTCACCACCACCGCACTTCATCCAACCACTGGCGCTGCCTCCCACAATTCAATCCTCAAACGAACAACACACCTTACCTCACCCCTAGAAACTCAACCCCACAGCAAACAGCAATGGTCCGCAAACTCAAGCACCACGAACAAAAGTATTTCACCACCTCACCTCGCTGCACCTCCCTTCCTGTTGCCCCCAGTTCCCCCCCGCTCCACCCCTTGCCTTCGCTATACCATCATCGCTAACAATAAACTCCCCTTGCTCCAAGGCTCCTCCGAAAGGTAGATTTCCTCGAATGGAAATCAGACAAGGGCCACCGCGACCATGATGTTATGCGTCGCTACCACATCCAAGATCCTGCCACCTACGCGAAGTACAACAAGATTTGTGGGTCCATCCGCCATCTCGCGCACCGTCTTGCGCTGTTGGAGCCCTCCGACCCGGTGCGCCGCAAGCACGAGGACTTGCTCCTAGCCAAGCTCCATTCCATGGGCATCCTCGCGCAAAAGACAAAGATGTCCGATGTGGAGAACAAGGTCACTGTGTCGGCATTCTGCCGGAGAAGGCTGCCGGTCGTCTTGACGAGGCTGAAGATGTGTGAGACCATATCGGCGGTATGTGATAGATTTTTTCTCATTCCTTTCCCTCGTTGTTCCGAATAACCCATGTCGTGGCTTGATCGGTAACTTGAAACCGAAACACTCAGGCTTAGCTTAGCTGGCTTAGCTGCAGTGTGGCGTTGTGGCCCGTCACCGGTGGAGAGACGTTGTGAGGCCCGTTAACTAACGCCAGGTGGATAATGTAGGCTGTCAAGTTCATTGAACAGGGTCATGTCCGAGTCGGGCCAGAGGTCGTTACGGATCCCGCGTACCTCGTAACAAGGTAAGAGAGGAATTCACTCCAGGGGTGTTGTTGGAGGGGCCGCGCAAGTTCAGCTTATTAACCGCCCTCCAATGATGATAGAAACATGGAAGACTTCATCACGTGGGTCGACTCGTCCAAGATTAAGCGAAACATCATGAAATACCGCGACGAGGTCGACGATTTCGACCTCCTATGAGCGGGTACTTTGTTTCTGTTTTTATTTGTAATTTTGCGGCAATTGTTTTTTTTAGGTTAGGGCGTGCAGCGGAAATGATTGGAAGTGAGGGGAAAAAAGTTAGGGCTATCTGTATCATATCCTTGGAGTTCGGCTTGGAAAAAGGGAGAGAAGAAGAATTCGAAGAGAATTAATGAAAGTATAACGTAACGTCTCTTGAACTCGTCTTCTCATCTCATTCTGAAAGGTTCAAGAGCAAGTTAATTGAGTTTACACTAGATCAGCTGTTAGGTGGTGTTTATAGGAATCAGACCACGTGCAGTTTTTTCCTCTTTCCAGCCAGCTGTCTCCTGATCCTGATCGTCTTTTTAATCAAACCTCCGTGTCTATCGTTGTCCTCTCAGTCAATCAATCAAGAGGGATTTTAGTCAAATCAATGACAGTCATGTATCATTGAACCCCCATCACATGGCTTTGTTTCAATTCAATTGTCTGCGGGCCCATACAGAACCACGTTGATATGTAAGACGCACCGAGATCTGCTCGCTCTTGGGCCTCCAGTTGGTCAATGGCTCTCTGGGCATCACTCGACGATCCTTCTATACAGATGATCTGCTCTCACTATGACCCTTATTAATCACCTCACCATTTTGAAGAATATACACCGAATTCCAATCAACCAGCTCTAGGCACTTTGTGCATATAGGGCGCCTCAGTCAATCAGAGGAGTGCATGCAGTGCACATACAAACAGACTGTTTAGGAATATCAAACATGTCCCTTCTACCCTCACGAAAGTCTTTAATTTATTTGCAAGGCTGATTGGGAATATTTCTCGTATTTGAGAGAGAGCCCCGGGATACTACTGCAAATTAAAAAAGAAAAAAAAAGGCAAAATTTCCCGTTCTACAGGGCCTCAATTGTTGTTTCCAGCCACTCAGCACAGCACGATCGAATAATTACGAGTGATCAGTATGAATTATAATAATACAAGTCGGTACTTATAGATACTTTTCCCTGACGGGGCGCCCAATAACGACTCGTCCGAATGTTTGCTTTCTTCGAGTGGGTCACTGCAGGATCGGATATCTATCCGAGGGTTAATATCTATCTATCCGTGGCTCGAAGGCATCAGCCCAAGATTGCATCCCGAGATCGACCGCTGCCCTACGATCCTGTCACTTTCGAGTCGAATAATTAGGAACCGGTCCTTTGATCCCTTATTCCCACCACTATCATCAGATTCTACGTACATATGCTCCTTGATCCCTTCTACTACTCACATTCATCCTTCCCGCTCCCGTCTCTCCTTCGTACCTAGCATTCGAGTCATTTCCACCAACACTCATCGCCTCGTTCAATTCGACTGGTCTGATATATGGACTACTGCCCCTGCAAATATAATGTCTTTGGAAGGAGGGCCGAAGTCTGGATCGCCGCCACCAGTCAAGACCTTTATCATTGGGTATTCAGGCCTCGGTAAACCACTAAACCTGAGAATAAGCTTCCCGCTGGTTCAGCTTCAGCTCCTGCCGAAAGTCATAAATCCTGGTTGAAGCTCTCAAGCAAGAAGGCCAGGCACATTAAGAGCCCTGCCAGGGTCAGCAAACCGTCAGACAGGGCTTGCGAATCCCATCCCCTCATCCCCTTGACTGCTTACAGTTCAGCGCA